CACCGCCGCGCCACGCCGCTGAGGCGGGGACGGGGCAGCGTTGCTCGGTAGCCGGGAGGGCACGTCTGAGCCGCTGCGCCCTCTGTGGTTTTTCCACTGGAGCGATGATACCCGTGGGAGTCCTCGGACTTCCCAGGCCCTGCTCGACTAAGCGGGACTGCAGGGGCTGGGAATTTGTCCCGCAGATGAGCGAATCCTCGACCAGCTCCCTGCCAAGTGTCACTTTCCTTTCCCTGTCCCATCCTCAGTACTCTCCTTAGTAACTCGGGAAGGAGAGGGAACCCTGGGTTCCAATCTCAGCTCGGGACCCTGGGGCAGTTGCTTCGTCCCCAAGCTTTGCTTCCTCATCTTTAAACAAGGGAATTCCTACTTTAAAGGGCTGTTGGCGAGGGTTATGGTGAGATGAAGAACTCCAGGCACCAAGTACGGTACCTGGCACGGGGGGAGGTGGTGGGGTGGAGCTGGCTGGAGCAAGAACATCAACAGGGGTGTTGATTGGCAATCTGCAAGGGCCGGAACAACCCGGGAAATTAATGAGACGAAGGAACCTGCATTTAGCAGAACTCCTCTCCATTGTATTGAGAATCCGGGCTTTCTGCCTTCTGGCCAGGCCCTAATAGATATCAGCTCCCTCCTCACTCTGGAAACTCCAAACTTTCCTTTTACCGGTGTGAGGGTGTAAGAGCTTGAGAGCACTCAGTCCTGGAGAGTGACAGGACTTACTGTCCCTTTCCTAATACAATATAGGGACCACGGAAAGGGGGCATGGTAGCAGGGGAGAGACAGGGTAAGTTTTGTGTTGTTAGTTCTGTTTTAATCTTGAAAATTAACTCAGCTACTTGGGCTACACAAATATGTGTGTTTTAAAAAGCAGAACTATTTTCTCCATTACATAGACAGGGAATTTTGTAGGATAGAATAGGAAAGTCAAGTCTATACTTGGAAAGTGTTGTTTGGGGAGAGCTTTATTCAGAATTAATGATGTACTTTGAAAGTTCCCTTGGAAATGCTGGGGGAGGTGATTACAGCTTTTCTATCTGATTGCTGAGGATGGGTGACTTTCAATAGCTACATTGATCCAGGGTGCACCCAAAGAAATTGTGGCGAAATGGGTTCCAGAAAACCCGAGTTTAGTGTTCATTTTTAACAGACCCCATTCGAGCAGGTGAAACAAAGCATATGTGCCTGGATAGGAGCCTGGCCAATCGGGGTGGCCACTGACGGGGAGAAGGAGCTCTGGGAGTCAGAGGCCGTGTGGTGATTTAGCCACAGGCTGCCAGTGGGACTTGGGGCAAGTCCCTCCCACTCTTTGGGCTACAAATTCTCTTCTCTAATACACAGCATTGGTCTAAGTCATGGCTAAGAGTCTTGAATCATGTGATATGCTGAGGTTGTAGATGAGATGGAATTCGAGAGCATCCTGGATCTTCAGGCTCCAGAAAGCTGCCCCTTTTGGGTAACATTGCTACGTCTGCCGGTGCAAGCTTGCCAACCACAGGACGCCTAAACAGAAGTTTTAAATAATGTGCCAGGAATACGTTCTCGATGCCTTT